AAACAGATTTATCCAAACGAATGTATATACAAGGCAAGTTAAGGATATAGCCCATGTTGAAATACAAGGTTCTGTAGAAGCCCACGAAATGCTTCCAGGAACTGAGGGCGATTCTGAGAGCCAAAAAGTTCCACCTTCGAGTAGCTCAACCTGCATTATGCGTCATACCTTTTCAAGAAAACCTATTTTACCAGCAATTTAGAACCAAAAAAAAAAAAGGGTTCAAGACTATTACAAACTTCACCTTTTCCTTGTCATAAAAGATTGTGCAGTGCTGATCGGAAGTATCTTCGGGTCCTTTCCGCGAGATTCCAAATTGTTCATAACCTTTTGGCCAACATAAGTGTGCCTTAAATTAGTGCTTTAGTTCTCTAGTGAGGCACTCAAATACAATTCAGGAAGGATTTAATATCCTTAGCAAACAAACCATTAACTTATCTTAGACAAAAAATCCAGCTTCAAAGTAAAATGTACTAAGGAAACTAATGAAATAATCAGAGAAGCCAAAACCAATGAGCATGCTATTTTAACCAACTCCCAAACAGTCAACTCGGACTTCGACTTCCGAAATCGATCGTTTCATTTATCAACAATTTGATATCAAAATTGCAATTATTCACAGTATAAGTCAATTCACTTTACCAGGCAAGCATTGCTGCAGATAATCCAACTGTGACTTCACCCCTAACCTTGCTCAGAAAAGCAGAAACCCAAATTATGAACAGAACCCCATTAAAACTTAAAATCACGCAAAAGAAAAAACAGAGAAAAAAACCTATATTCTTATCACTGACGATCAAATCAAGCCCAAAATTACGCATACCATAACTGAAAGAAAAAATTAGTAAAAAAAGGGGGCAAAAGTGCACCTTGCTGAGTGCAAAGAATCATGGGGGAATAACTAGTAATGACTGTGACACACAGATTCTTCCTCTTTTCCCATGAATTGGGGCTGTCAGCCGGTTGATCTTCCAGAAGATTGAAGGTCATCACAGTCAAAGAAACACTCATCTTTCTTTCCCCTTGCTTAATCAACTCTTTTCACTTCTTCTTCATTCTTAAGCTTTTTACATCGCAGCTCAAGAAGGATAACAACAGAAGAAGCACAAAGCAGAGCTAAATTGATGTTTGCTTTTGGTAAAAATGTTTCCTGCAGATTGAAATCGATGACGAAATCAGTGTGTAGAACTAATAAAATTGAGAAATGAGAGCGACAACAAGGGTTTGGAATATCATCATTCAAAAGATAGTACTTGATGCACTTATAATAATTATAAATTGTATAATAAAATATTATAAATAGAATATATAAACCAATGCATGAATATTGATATATTGATTATTATAAAAAACAGATTTAAGTAGTGAATTGCTATTTACCGTCCCCTATTACTAGTCACCGCCCCAATTACGAAAATACTCTTTACTCTATTTCTCTCTACTCTCTCTC